GGACACTTACCTTTCCACGCTCTTTGTTCCTTTCCAATTCGTTCGTGAGAAGATCGAGTTTGGCTTGCCTTTTGACAATCCTGGCATGTCTCAACGAGGTTGAATTTCTCTCTTTTCTTAAATTAGCTTTTTGACCAACCACACTCTCAAAACATTTATTTCCGAATAAGTATGGTCGTCCATCAGAAGAGATGGCTAAGACAGCCACTTCAACATTATATAGCCTCGCAAATGTATCAGCCTTGTTAAAAGCATCATCTAAAGACATTTGCTCGGTAACATATATCTTTTTGTGATCCATCTTTTTTGTTGTTAGTTGTTATTGTCACTATTTTACTATATTTTATAGATGGATTGGGCAAAGTAGGTTAAACACATTGTGTTGATATTTTATCTTAAGAATATAGATGGAGTATTATCATTGGATTTGAGATTATCTCTAGATTTCATTCAACTACATAAAGCATTTATCTTTAAGAACTGACACGCGTCAAACATGTGCATTAGCTACAACATATCAACGTTTTTTCCTAACAAACCGACAAAAGAAAAAATGAAAATTTTTTTTACTAAAATTTATTTCCACAAAAATTATCTAAAAGCATCAAACTTCGTAAACAAACCACAAGAAGAACATTAAACTTATCCTAAGCTCCTAACTAAGATATGCTATAGAGACGTTTAAGGTCTGTTAGTGTTTGTATTGTTTCGATTTTTCAACAAAAGTTTTTTGTATAAATTCATCTTAAAACACCATAGGGTTTTCTATTTGAATAACCTTATACAAAACGTGTACAACATTGTTATTTTTTCAAAATTGACATTAAAATTTATGGTTTTGAAAAGTGCTCTTATATTTTTGGTTTCTGTTAAAACTTGCCATAATTATATATTTAGGTTATAAAAAGATTACAATATAATTTCATCAGAATTGTCGGTAAAATCTCTAATCTTAAAAAGGACCATTAATTTTCAATTACAATCTTATATAAAAATTTTAGGTTTTTCTAAACCCAAGTCATGAGAGGATGCAATGTGTAATCTATTCTTTTGACATTTATCTTTTCCTATCTATCTATTGAAAAGAAAAACAAAATTAAGTGTTTAAAAACAGTAACAATTAATTCCTACAATTTAATAGTCAAGCCTAATGTAAGTTAATATTAATCTTATATAAAATTTTAAAGTTTGTCTAAAGTCATGAGAGGATGTCATGTATCATCTATTCTTTTGATATTTGTTTTCTTTAAGTTATTTATTGAAAAGAAAAAGAAAATTAAGTGTTTTAATAACTTTAACAATTAATTTCTACAATTTAATTGCCAAATCTAATGTAAGTTAATTTTTAAAAATTAAAGTGTAACATAAGGATGACCAATTTTAGTATAATAGGCCAATAATACTTTAACCGTTATCTTTTTATTTTAGTATAATAAGTCTAATCTGTTATTATGAAGATTTGAAAAATTTATATTTTATTTATTAAATCTAACAATATACTATACAAAAACATTTAAAACTTTATATAGATAACTACGATTTTAAAACAAAATATCACAAAATAAAGTCATAAAAAGCTTTAATAAAAAAGAATTGTAACATTAACAAAAAAAAATGGTATGAGAAAATTAATTAATGATTTTAGGAATTTTAAGGTTGTGAAAATGGTAAAGTTGTCAATTACTGAATTTA